GTGGCTTCTGCAGCGCGAGCTTTCGCTCCAAATGCTCGGAGCTGGTGTGCGCTAGACCATGCACCATGCAGTTATATTTACACTCAAGGGTACTGATATCCAACGTATTCAGAGAGATGACACCTTCTGGTCAACCAACATAGAGCCTTTTCTACTCAAGTTTTACATGGAAGGCCCGACTTCCGCTTAAATTCCTTAAGTAGACGAGTTGTCCGACCGAATAAACTGCAATTACTCCCGATCTGGGAATCTCTCGATCTTCGTTCGTAAGCCATGGTATCATGAGATCGAGGGGTGTGGCTCTTCGTCCGCTGAATATTGCTTCGGCGGGTGTTTTTACCGTGTAAGATGAGACCGTCGCGTGCTGCTGGAACAACAACCTGGCGATACTTCACTGAACTGCTTCTTTCGTAAGCTTCAAAAGGGATTTTTGTTTTGTTTCGCACACCATCTGTTCTGCATGCCCGTTAGTTGCAGGATGGTATGGTGCACTAATGTGATGCCTGATGCCGGTTTTTTTTCTTCAAAAACTTGTTTATTTTGTTTGAAGCAAAATTTGGCGTGTTATCAGAGAAAAGTATTTTCGGTAGAGCAAAAGTAGGTACAAGAGACCGTAGAACGTCAATGACGTGTTTGGACGTCGTGGCAGGCATCGTGTAAACTTCCAGCCACTTAGAGTACGCATCGTCCATGACTCCGCAGATGCGGATACGTTTCGCCGCCCACCGATTGAATAGTGGATCGTTTTCAGTTACTGTTCATGATGGCGTTGGACTCAAGGAAGACTTCGAGTCTTTCCAGAAAGTTAGCCCAGGTGCCAGGACTTTTGTCGAAAGCGGTAAGTGTTCGAAACGTCGACAACGTCGGTAGCCACGTGTTGTGCTTGACACTGGACACATACCATTCGCTGAGAAAAAACTTGCTTGTTCGTCTGCCACGAGTCGTCCGATATCAGGTCATCACCGCGAAACCATCTCCCGACAAAAACGCATGTCCATAGTTAGCAATCACGTGAACTTATAAATTCCCGAACGCTCATAACTTGCCGTCGCTAAACGCCGTTCATTCATAGCGTCATCATTGCAAATAAACGTCTTCCTATTTCTTCTGATGGTTTTTATCATATTCCTCCTAAGTTATACTTACAACATTATGTGTGTCGGTACTTCCGAAAATATTGAAACGGCGTTTGTTTTCTGGGAACTATAATGTAACAACCTTTACGACATCTTCCGGACCCCGTGAAACACAATATTTCGTGACGTTATTTTAGTCGTCGTTAAAATGGTGAGGTAAGCACCGTAAATCGCGACTTCCCGTCCGCTTTTACTGGTGTCTTGGAAGATTGAGTCTGCTGAGCGTGCATTCCTGCAGATGAAATTTTCATTGATAGAATATTGACACGTCAATCAACATTTGATTCCTTCTTGGTAAGATTTGTTGCGAAAGCCCATTACAACCGCCCAACCGCATCTCCGCATACATCCGATTGCTGGGCCACGCTAGTGCCACTAAATAAGCTACGCTTCAGAGTAACGACACTTGGCCATATTGTGTCTTAAAAGCATGGTTGCCAGTTATCTGACGCTATATCTGAAATAACAGGAAACGCTTTTCTGTCCTCTACAAATGTTTAAACAGTTCGCGACAGAGCAAATCAATATTACACGAGCTTCTTAACAGCGAATCTAGTGCTGAGGAAGTCGCACTTTTGAATCACGGCGATCGGCAGTTGCGTCTGCTCTGCATACGAGCCAAAATGGCGGCGCCCACAACAATGTTGGGAAACAGAGTGCCGATACTTTAAGCGCAGCTCATTTAGTGGCTCTAGGCCACGCTACTTGAGCTAGCTGAGCACAGCTGGCAGCGGCGCGAGCAAGGCCACGAGAGGAACGTGATGGTGCTCGAGTCATCCCACTGTGAACCAATGTTTCGGCCACCCCACGGGTGCGTGTCGCCATCTATTGGTTGAACTAACGCCTTGTTCAAGATGGCTGCCGTGGGACCGCAGCCTTAAGGGCTAGGTTCCCGAGAATCGTGTCAAGTACAAAACACTTGTCGACAAAATTGCCTCTGGACAGCTACCGCCATCTATAAGCGACGGTGGCAAGCACACAACCAGTATGGTTGCCGCTGTCACTCGTAGATGGCGCCAACCTTTCCAGCTATCCAGAGCCGTTTATACTGAGAGAGTTTGGCCTTCTTAAGGAGATTTAGACAGTCTGACAACCACAGCAGCGTAGTCTGACAACCGGGGGATGACTACTTCCGTCCGCCATATTGTGGATCTGACTCATAGGAACTCTACGCGATTTCTCAGGAATGAACAAGACAAAGAAGTAACGCCATATTGTGTTATCGCGAAATCCGCTTGTTCTAGCGGCCAACAAGCTCCGCCCATCGGCCAAACTCTCTCAGTATAAACGGCTCTGCAGCTATCCAGAGCCATCTATACTGAGAGAGTTTGGCCTTCTTAAGAAGATTTTGACAGCCTGGCAACCACAGCAGCGTAGTCTGACAACCGGGAGATGACTACTTCCGTCCGCCATTTCGGGGCTCTGACTCATAGAATCTCTATGCGATTTCTCAGGAATAAAGAAGACAAAGAAGTAACGCCATTTTGTGTTATCGCGAAATCTTCTGGTTCTAGCGGGCAACAAGCTCCACCCATAGGCCAAACTTCAGTATAAACAGCTCTGCAGCTATCATAGAAGAATGGATAGTTGGGTGGCGCGTTGGTGGGATTTCATCATAGGAAACAGCGCGAAAAATAGACGACGACAAAGAAGCACACGTAACGACGCAGCGCTCGTCACGTGTGTTTCTTCGTCCTCGTCTGTTTTGCGCGCTGTTTCCTATGCTCTTATCAGTTTCGGTTTGGACTTAGGATGGGTTGTCCGCGCGCCCTTTCGGGGAAAGAAGACTGGCTGCGGAAGGAGCGGCGGCGTACGCAGCAGCGCGAATGGCTCCGTAACCGCCGCAAAGCCGCCGTCGCCTTGACCTCCACTGCGTCGAGCGCTGCAGATTCCCTCGCCAAAGAAGAGCACATCGCTCGTCTGGAAAGCCGCAACCGAGAACAGAACCAGCGACGTAAAGGGCGCCAGTGGGCCAACGCCATGGGCGACGATCGTGCCACGGAGGCCAAGCGCAAGCGCGAGGCCCGGCGACGACTGCGCTCCACGCCGGCTGAACAGTTCCCGGGTGCGACGGCGAGGTTCCGGAGGGAGTTCGTGGAGAACCCGTTTGTCGTCACGTGCGCCGTGTGCGACCGACTCTGGGTCGCCGAAGACGTATCCACGATCGGCGGTGTGTCGGACGAGAAGAAGCGGGAAACGGGCGCGTGCGCGTTGCGGCAGTGTATCTAGTAAAGCTCCACTGGTCTTCCTTCTTCACGAGAGTGGAAAGGCTGAACATCTTTAGCCTCTCTCTTTGTGTCGAAGCGATGGAAACGCCTATCAAGAACCAGCGTCTGCAGTCGCTTTGGTAACTGTGCCCTAATTTTTATTTTATGACGAGAATACGAATTTTCGCATTGTAGTTTTTACGGGGTACCGGCGTCCAGAGCTAGATGGCGTAAGTGGGCCATGTCCCTCATTGTTCGGAATTAAAACGGTCTCGGGTTGACTTATGTCTCGGGGTGCTAATCACTGTGATTTGCATTCACTAGATTGTACCTGCCCTTACTTTTTTTTTATTTCTATACGTATACAGAACGTCTCATTTGGAGGCAACTCGCGAAAGGTGTGTTCATGTACGATTAATTCTAGTGACATTATTACAATGTTTGGGAATACTTGCAACAAGCTTGTTTTATTTTTAGTGATTGTCCTTATATTCATAATAAAAATTACATGAACAGTATTGAAACGGTAGTCAAGCACAATTCGATGGCTTCATTATTCGCGAATTTGCCAATATGTCCCTTTTCTTAGCATCTTAAGCCGGGGTCCACACTGCTCAATCATCATACAAACGACATTCTGCAAACGCGAATCACCGCAATGCCTGTGGTTCGAATACCGCAGTTTCCTCCTTGAACTCATTGCCGTAGCGATCGAGTTCGTTGCAGTAGACGAAGGCGGCTATCCCGCCACCAGGAGAGGTGGGCACTCGGGCCCGTTTAAATAGACATTTTGTAGCGTCGACATTACATCGCTCGTACACGATCCTCAAACCGCCCCATTCAAGCGTTGCCCGAAAAAACATTCGATATTCAAACTATTGGTGGCCAACTCTGCTAGTCACTTCCTTTCCCAAAGCGTCTCAAAACTACTTTCAGACCTAAGAAATCTCTATGAGGGAACGTACTTCCCGTCTTGGCGCTGCTCTTACTAACATGTTGTCGACACGGCATTCCATCGAAGCTTCACAGACATCCACGAGGTGGTTTCTTGGTTATCGTTTTATTCAGTTTAAAATACGTTTCCTCGCGCTAGCCTACGAAATATTGGTATTGGTGAAGACCTAGTTCAACCCGCTTCGTGTTTAAGCAAAGAGATGAGCTCCAGAATTTGGTTTCCGTGCCCCTTTAACGGAACATAAGAAACGAAATCAGGGGTTTGCCGTGTCCGCGTCCCCGGACTCGGATTGTCGGCGTATTTCGTCGTGTTTTGTCACCAACCTCGGTCCCACCGGCAAAGCAGTTGCCCTGTCTGTGTGTCGTTTGCGCCATGTCTGTCGGGTGGGATGGGGGACTCCGACAAACAGGGAGTCTGTCGGTGTTGTTTGTTGCTCGTTCACGTTGGTCGCTGTTAGTTGTTGATGTCGGTCGCTCTTGTGGCACTAGGCTCTAAAGAAACTTTGGCATCTGGTCCGGACTGCTAGCACTACATTGGAGCGGAGACTGGGCTTATATATATATAAATATATTTTTTTTTGTGGTGAAAATAACATTGCAAATATCTTTCGTGGACACCCTCTACTTTGTTTCATGCATAGTATATGCCAGCTTAGTGTGCCAGCTTACTCGCGCAGCAAAAAGAGAAAGGGAACGCAGTCTGTCGTATAAACGTATTTTATTAATACCTCAGGTTACTGAAAAATCATCTGTCTTTCAGTGTCACTGCGTCTGTAAACGGCATCACCGGCTGAACTGAGACTTGTACTAGAACTATAAAACTTCATTGTAGGTAATTAACCACACCACGTACAAACCACCGAGAATCCTAAAAAAGAGCTCTGGGTTTTCACCACAATGATCTCAGCGATGAAAATTTTTTACTTCAGGCAAGTCTACTGCAAGTACAAGACCAAGGCGATCCCTTCGCTATCGTTGAAGACAAGCCATTATCTTTTTTTTTTTATCTTTTTTTTCTAAGTGCAATGCATTCGCTGGTTTGACGTAGCAAGACACAGCTTTTGGTATATAAGTGAACCCTAGTGCATAACAGCACTGCGCTCTGACATATGCATCGGTAACAATAAAAAAGCATTATCAAACATCACTTCAGATTTGACTTTCACAAGAACTCGCCACCAGTTTTCACTCTTCAGCATTCCATTTTTAGCAATGCCTTTTTCTACACAAATACTAGTTAAAATTTACGAAGACATGAGATCACATTGGCACGGGATGTGAGTGGACGCCTTATTCCAGCATCTTCAAAAATTTAGGGGCGTTGAATAAAGTCGCCGCGAATGCGAAATTATTGGCAACATTGTCGTTAAGCTTGGCTGGAAGGACGGAAACAAATTTAAACACGATACACAAAACAAACTCTCAGGAGCGTTTGAAAGATGTCGGGGCATGTGCTCATATTCCGGTGGGTCATAAACAACAACAACGATAACAACGAATGAATATTTACGAAAGCAAGATACTTTCAATATCTCGAGCAAAGTTGGACATCCTATAGACGGGGAGGTTTCATTGAGCATTAAGCCTTCTTGGTCAAAATCAAAGCGCGCGAAACAAAACTTGCGCAAAACATTTCTGCTTTTACTTTTATTTTTGCAGCTAAGGACGTAAAATAAACACCTGTACTGCTCATAAGCACAAGCCTAAGTCACGCGACGAGTATGGGCACTGAACAGGCGAAGCGTGTAGATTCTTGAATAGGGTTACTCCTGGGCATGAACAATGTCAACACTGACGGCGTTATTCAGGCGCTTGCTCTTTAGCAATGCAGGTATTTATGGAGGGCACAGGGTAAAATCATAGCGACGCTCGAATAATCACAGGCTTATTGACGAAACGAGGAGAGCGCAAGCGTATTGGAACGCGCGTTACACAGGGCGTACCTCGATCACCCAAGACATTGAACGTACGCAGGAGCACGACGTAGACAAACTCGCTGCTGTCTGAGATGCATGTTCGTGTGGCGCCCCATCCACGCGTACGAAGCTATCTCTTGTCGTCTCCGGTAACTGGTGTACAACCCGCCTAATGGCAACCTCTCTGCGTTGACTGTGCGCGAACGAGGCCTTCCCCCGATGAACGAGCTGAGACCCTAAAAAACTTACGCGGTACTGCCGTTTCTGGGCACTAATGTCCATGTCGGTGTGGGTGAGATTTGTCGTTCTGGGCCGGCGACCGTCGTGAGCACGCCGGACGAGACCCAGGCGGTTGAGACTGCCGTCGAAGCCGGCTTCAGTCGTGGATACGGCGCAGCCTGGGGGCGACCTTGGACATGAGGATGTCGATGGGCAGCTTGTCGTCGAACAAGGAGGGCGCCTCCAGGATGATGCAGGCGGAGCCCACGACGCAGGCTACGGTGAAGAGCCAGAGGAAGAGCCGGTCCAGGACCATGGCCACGTAGCGCCAGTCTTCGTTAATCTGCGGACGGAAGGACAGCGGTCTCTTCTCTATTCGCGGCCACGGTTCACAGAGTCACGTGAAGAGACCGACATCATGCTGGCACTTTATGCCAGTGCGTTATTTGAACACAACTTTGATATGCTTGGAAGATTAAAGGCGTGGGTTGCATTCTCGCTTTCATGTATCTATAGTCGGTGACAGGTTAAGACTTCAGGGAAAGCTCCACCCACCTCTTTCCACTTTAGCAGAGCGAACGCTGGAAAGGAGGCGACCTCAGATCCAGTGTTGGCTCTGCTAAAGTAGATTGTGGGGGCAGTAGCTCCTTCTGAACTCTTAACCTCCCACTGATTATAGTCAATAATGAGCGAGAGACAGAAAGAGAGAGAGTGAGAGAGAGAGCTGTCCCTTAGCCAGGTTATTAAAATCTTGCCTTGTGATTTTATTTCGGGGCGAGGGGAGGGTGGTTGTGGGAACCAGTAAAATATCGGTATACAAGCGGTCGAAACTCTCTGTTCACTGGCAGTTTAAGAACGTCAGGGCTTGGTCTCTTATGTTCGCGCATGTTGCTTTGTCCTTCGGCGTTCTTATCGACGCCGCAAACTCATTGGCTGCGATAATAAAAAGCTTGGTACAGGCCACGCCCCCGTCTCTTAAGCTGTCAGGTACACTGTTATGGTTACCTGGTCGAAGTGGTCTGCGTTCTCCATGTGCTGCGCGATGAAGCGCACGTTGAAGACGGGCCTGGCCAGGTCCTGGTCCAGCTGCAGCGGTGGCAGCGTGGGCGACGGCGGCGCCTGCGAGGCGGCGTCCGGCTCGTCGCTGCTGTCCTCGGCGTGGTAGGCGCAGAGGGCGAGCTCCTGTGGCGGAGGAGGCTTGTCGGCGGACGGCGTGGCATCGAAGCCCTTGGCACTGGCATCGTCATCGTCATCATCGTCTTGGGGCCGTTTCATGAGGAGGATGGCGGGGAGGAGCTGGAGGAAGACGTGCTTGACCCAGGGCGCCATCTTATGGGTGGCCGGCGACCGGAAGTTGACGTTGAGCACGGCGATGGTGACGAACACGGACAGGGAGACGAGCACCATGGTGAAGAGCAGGTATTTCCCCAGCAGGGGCACGGCCAGCGACGTGGGCGGGATGATCTCGGACAGGAGCAGGAAGAACACCCCCAGAGACAGCATGATTGAGATGGACAGGGACACCTTCTCGCCCGAGTCCGAGGGCAGGTAGAACACCAGGACGGACAGGAAGGAGATGGCCACGCAGGGGATGATCAGGTTGACGGTGTAGAACAGGGTTTTGCGCCGCAGCGTGATGTTGAACGTGATGTCCGGGAAGGGCTCCTCGCAGCACGAGTAAAATTTCTCCTTGCGCCGGGCGGGCACCGCCATGATGTCCCACTCCACGCTCAGGTAGAACTCGGACAGGTCGATGCCCACCGCGATTTCGTTGGAGTCGTCGCGTTGGTGCTTGTGCTTTAGGTCCACCTGAAGACATACGTCACACATACTTTGGCACTATCTACTCCAAAACACGGCCTAGTGACACTTATAAAGCATTCGGGGAGTTTGTTGATGACAAGTCCGCCAAATGAAATGCGCAATATTGTTTTATGATAACAATCCGGCTACCGAGAGGCACTTTTTCAGGTAGCCAATATTTTTACAATGGTTCTTAAACTGTTAGCCATGAAGATAGAATTGACTTGAGAGACATATAAACATTATAACTTGCCACAAGAATTCCGCCAGACTAACTAAATACTTTCAGAAACGAACATTTCCAAAGCTTACGCGTTTTCCAAAGTCAAAGAAAACGCACGAATTGTTTCTACATCATCAATGTGAGAGGCCATGGATGTTCGGTCCCCGACAACAATAATAATCCCCTTGTAGTTATGCTAAGGGAGTTTCATTTATTTAGATCGCCCTTATAGTTCCTCTATAGCTCTTTTTTGGTTGACATGTTTTGTAACTTACGGTATAACCATCGTAGGTCCACGAGCCGAACTTCATAAAGCAAGTCTGCTCGTCGAAAGGGAAGTACTGCACGTCGATTTCGCACGAGCTCTTGTAGATGGCTGGCGGTTTCCAGATGACCAGGCCGTCCGAGTGGAGGATTGCCTTGGTCATTATGGTCACCTCATAGTTGCCGTCCGCACTGTGAGAAACAAAAAAAGTGGCTGCGTTACATTTCGTGTAGATGTTATTCACAACCAGGTGGCCAGACACGTACTTGTTGTAAAGTACGATATCTGGCAGCCAGATCTGTTCGGCCGGTACGTGGACTTTGGACACACCCCCGTACTCTTCGGGGTCCCAGCGCAGTTTGTAATCGTTCCACTCCTGCAACGCAAAAAGATGTCTGACGTGAGGCGGAAGGTCACCGAGAATCGATTAAAGGGACTAACCCTAATAGAGGGCCCAGGCATGCCCTGAAATTATAATTGGAAGTCTACTCTCGTGTGTGTGTGTGTAAGTGGTTGGAAAAGGGGGGGGGGGGGGGGCACGCAGAGAACCAACTGCAGAAATCTACATTAGGAGCCGCCTAGCGAACGACAAAGGGTTAAATATATTAACGGTCGAAATCTGTTTTAATGCGGGTCAAGATTGAAGATAGAATAAACAATTAGGACAAAGACAACACAACCACGTCTTTCAGGTAAGATCGGGTTGTGTTGAGTTTGTCTATACTTGTTTATTTTTCTTCAATATTGGGTCACCAATGGAAGACTGCACTGCTGGACTGTAGAAATGATTATCCATGTCCATGTGTTCAAGCACGAACGAAGTTTTGGGTCCTAATAGGGTGTTCTGGAACAGCATACTTACATGTCAACTCAACGACAGAGCCTATTGATTGCCATTCAACGGCCACTATAGGAGAGAACCAGGTCCGCGGACGAGATAAATGTACTTATCACGTGACCTTGACGTCATAATCATAACGGGTAAATTCGCAGGTCTGCGGTCAGTCCGCGGACCTGGCTCTAAATCCCCATGGTTACCGTGGACCGAACTGAGGGCTACGAGTCCGAGCTCGTAGCTTCGTTTGTTGCTTTCGCTACACGTGCTACCGAACAAGATCAGCACCTCTTAAAGGCTTTCGCTTTCGCAAAGGCTTTCGCTTTTCTCAAAGGCTTAGCTTCCGCTGCACTACAAGCTAAAAAAGAACCACCAGGCAGCGCACGGAACGTTCGATTTGCATCCAGTCAGCGTCTGGTCAATCTGCCAGTGAAGGAGACAAAAATGGCGCGACGACACGGCGTTCTTTTTAATTTTACTCGTGGAAGAATTCCTACAACTGGCAGTGCCTCCAATACTATCAGTATGTACCTAAGCAACAATATAAAATGCCAACTCTGACCTCAGCAAAGAAATGCAGCGGCGCTTCTGCTGAGATAATTGAACGTCTACTGATTTACGTGAACCGCGCAGTTCTATTTGCCCGCTTATATTTGCGTTATATTTACTTCAATGCCCCCAAGCACCGACGCCGCGTGTGATGCCGTACATCTTTGTACCGCCATCACAAGCAACGTCAAAGCTTGGAGGCAAGAAGAGCAACATAATTGTAAGAGATCTGGAGAAATAAGCGTGAGTGATAAGTTTATTGGATGCACAATGCCACATTTGACCGCCTTAACCATGAAACCTTACTACAAAAACTGCTAGCTTACGGCGTTAGAGGTAAAGCTCTTGACATTATAAGAAGTTACTTGCAATCCCGGTTTCAGATGGTGGTAATAGATGGCTACCACTCTAATAGTAGACAAATGAAAAATGGCGTTCCGCAAGGAAGTATTTTAGGGCCGCTTCTTTTTAACTTATATATCAACGATATAGTAAATATTGACTCTAAGGTGCATATGATAATTTATGCGGATGATACTTCCATTTTTTTCTCGGGCAGAAATACTTCTGAATTGATAGAAGCTGGTAATCGGTTTCTTCATAAACTGAATGAATGGACTATTTCTAACTCACTAGTTATAAACAGTAAAAAAACAAAGTCTGTCATTTTTAGATCAAAAGGAATAAATAATATATGTCAGCAGCAGGCCCTTACCTTAGGTGCACAAACTATCGAAATGGTTAAGACAGTTAAGGTGCTTGGGGTAATGTTTAACGAATATTTGCGATGGGATGAGTCCATTCAGTCTACTGCAAAAAAGCTATCAAGAGTAGTGGGTATCATTTATAAGTGCAGGGAAAAACTACCTTCATCGGTATTGCTTCTTATTTACAACTCTTTGTTTTATTCTTGTTTTAATTATTGCTTTTTGGTATGGGGAAATTCTACTTATTCGAATATTAACATTCTTTATTTGTTACAAAAAAAAGCAATTCGTGCGATCTGCAATGAGGCTTACTGTAGCCACACAACACCCATGTTCAAAAGATTAGGCCTGATTAAAATAACAAATTATTATGACTATAAACTTATTCTCATGTACAAAACAGCATTAAATAAGCCAGACAGTATCTTCCTTTCCCTGTCCTCCTTACAAACAAAGCAGATTTCATATGCTGTTCGACACGCTGACACCTGGATAGTCTCTCGTTCAAGAACCAATTATGGTGACCAGATGCTGCAGTATAGGCTACCTAAAGTTTTAAATACTATGTCCCTTTTGGGTGTTGAAGTTGAAGTCATTTCCAAAAAGTGCTTACGTTCCAGATTTGTTGAATTGTAATATTTTAACTAGTCAAAATAGTGTACCTATAGTTATTTTTGTATCGTTACTGTTTTGTTTAATTTTGTATTTGAGATTGTTTACTCTGCGATGACTGCTGTTGCTGCCGAAGGGGAGGAAGGGACTCTGTCAAGCAGTTCCTACTGCTTTTTTCCCATCCTCCCACTCTTCATTGAAGAGAAAATAAACTTGAAACTTGAAACTTGAAAGACGCTCATATTGGCTGAGAAACTCTTTCAGTATACGATGATGCTCCGTAGCAACCTTGGTGCGACTGGTTTTAACGACCCCTTCGTAACTTCGAAGCCTTGAAAGGGTCCAAAAATGCGACCACTATGGCAACCGACAGCGATGAGCCAATCACCTTTAAAGGTTTTGTTGTCTGTATGTTGGTCGACGAAAATAATCCCTGAAGAGGGACAAAGGACAAACACAAATCTCCAATGTTGGTACTTGTTTGTGCCCGGCTAGCTGCAGGTGGGAAGGCAATGGCGCTACTTTCCCAGATCCAGTGACTAGCGCACACCAGCTCAGAGCGAATGCTGTGGAGCGAAAGCTCGCCCTGCAGAACACAGGGATCCTGGGTTCAATCCCCACTCCCGCTTGTTTCGATCTGGATGAGCGTCGTACCGGCTTGCGGTCGTGTATCACTACTGCGTGGTGCACGCGTTAATGACCAAAGGCTAGCTATTTGTACTGCACTGGCTAAATTTCTCATCTGCAGCTGGGAGACAAATTTCCCGTTGAGGTAGACTAAGTTATAGGCTGTAAAAACATACACCCTTTTTCTTCTTTTTTTTTTCTCTGCTTTTTTTACCACTGTCATCCCTCTAACGATATTTGAGCTTCTGCGCTTTTTATGTTGCTACCTCATTAGTGGGCCGAGCTATTCAGGGAGCAAGTAGTAGACACGAAATATTCGCGCATCATGTTTTAATTTGATCAGCAGAAACAGCGCAACGTCTGGTGATGCCCCAATATGTTCAAAACGGGCAGTTGGTGACGTTTTAAGGTCGATTTTGTGATTGGCAGCGTTGCCAAGAACCGAAAGAATACCTTTTAAGGGGCTAAATAGAGCGTATCACTTTGTAAAATATTGTAATTCATATGAAAAAATCGATTTTACCAAACTTTTTTTTTTTTTTTTACAATTATGCAGGGAAAAAAATTACACTTATTGAGACGCTTATCTCCCGGCGGCGGTGGCCCCGGGAACCGATTTTATGGATTCCACGTCAAAATGTCCAACGAGACGAAATGTCCAACGAGTCAGAATGTCCAATGTTGGACATTTCGTCTCGGTGGACATTTCGTCTCGTTGGACATTTTGACCTGCTTGGACATTTCGTCTCGTTGGACATTTTGACTCTTTGGACATTTCGACCCGATTGGACATTTCGTCTCGTTGGACATTTTAACTCTTTGGACATTTCGAATCGGTGGACGTTTTCACCCGATAGACATTTTGACCTCTTTGTATCGTTGGCCCAGACTCTGGCACTGCATAATGCTGAGACGGACGTTTTTAGAATTTCGAATACTTACAGGCACCCCGGGTTTTCGCTAAAGCGGTAGTAGGGTGATGACTTGAAGAAATCTGACAAACGTTTTTGGGGGAAAACAAAATTTCTAATCGCAAAAAAAAAAAAAAAACTAATTTACGTTGCGGACGCTGGTAGTCCGCTAGAATGTAACCCTAGCGGTTGGAAGAAAATGTCAAATTTCAGATTTGTGCTCTTGTTAAAAGGGGGGGGGGGGGGGGGGGGGGTGAATTTTTTTTTTTTTTAGTTAACAAATGGGGCACGTTTCCGGTGGCGGACGCTGTTCATCTTCATGTATTCCCGGCTATGTTGACCACCATTTAAGCACTGAAAATTTCTAAGCATTGCCTAAAATGAATCAGACTACGCTATGTTCCGAAAAATTGGCATAAGTTGCTCCAGCTTATTTTTTCGATGCTTAAAACAGGGTTTCCTTCCTTAACCTGCAAATTAGGAGACACCTAAGGCAATATAATTAAACGTGATGAATAACGGCAGCAAATGCAATAATATATTTTGTAATTAGGATACGGTGATGGATTAGGTGATTGAAGCAAAGTTAAAATAGCGCTAACTAAAACTTTGGATTAGGTAGTTGGTTCATGACTAAAAGGAATGAAAAACGCAAAAAAGACACCAACGGAAAAAAAGAAAGGTTGTGTTTTGTCTTCTTTTTCGTCTGTATCTTTTTGCCTCTACAATGTTATCTTATATTGCGCCAATTTTCATGTATAAAAACCAAGGAGGGTGCTTCGTGCCCAGGTCCACGAAGTTCACATACGGACGTTTGCAGCAGAAGCGTTTAAAACGAGACTCAAGAGGAAATTACTCATTGCACGTGCATTCGTCATTATGTTATTTAAGTCGTCCACCCCCAATCTTTCCCCCGGATAGGGCGAGCACATGAATACGCAGTGTGTACGAAGAAACCCAGCATGTTTCAGATTCGGCATCGCATGCTTTGTTCGCTGCCATCCTAGCTTCCTTCCCTCGATAAAGGGGACAGATGACTGCACCCTTGTTATAATTAAAGTCACTGATAGTGGCATTAGTCAGAAGGCCTTGGACAGGGGTCGGCGCATTCTGTGCCTCCCGCAGTTTTTCGCGCGTTTCTATTCCATATCTGACTCGAGCATACTTGATATAAGCAACATTGAACAGGGTTGCAAGAACTTTCATAATAAGCATTCTTAACGCAAGCCATACAGCGTGTATACAGCATGGGACGGATAAAAAATGACACGTGGACATTTCGTCTCGGACATTTCGACTCGATGGACATTTTGACCTGATTGGACATTTCGTCTCGATGGACATTCTGACCCGATTGGACATTTCGTCTCGATGGGCATTTCGTCTCGATGGACATTCTGACCCGATTGGACATTTCGTCTCGATGGACATTTTGACACGGGTGTCACGTGGCCTATTGGACATTTTGACTCAATGGACATTTCGTCTCGTTGGACATTTTGACCAGAAGCCGATTTTATGGGCGGCCTGTTTCTCTCAACCAGGGGGCGCTGTAGTGTCCACGAGACGCGACCGCAAAAGAGGCGCTTCAGCGTCAGCGAGACGCGACCATTTAACGCTGACATGAAGCGGCGTGCTAGCGTCATGCAGGACCCACGGGCGTATATTGTATTAGCGTCTGTCAGCGTCTTTCCATGCGCGCTAACAAAGCGTTCTAAAAGGACGCTTGGTTAGCGTCCTTTTAGGAAAAAAAAAACGCGATTGAAAAATATTTGAGTTTGCTCGCTAGGGTCGCTGCTCAAAACTTGATAGCTACAGGCCCTTGATCGGGAATCGTAGTTCGGGATGTCGAAACAACGGATTCAGTGGGACGCATATTTCTGCTATTTGAGCCTGCTGCTCTTGTCGTGTGCCGTGAGCTACCTGTTCTCACCCATCAGTTTGGTGTCCTCGTGCTTTATTTTGTGTTTTCTTTTCTTTTTCGGTTTTCGCATTAGTACCCTCGATTGGACGAGTTCGTGCGTGCTACGTTACCCCGAGAAGCTCCGTAGGCCTAATTAGCCAGACGCACTTGCCCGGAAAGCCGGCAAAAGCTTGAAGCTAGATGACGCAGCAAAGGTAGAGTTAATTAGAATTTAGGACGACCTCAAGTGTAAGCTACGTATGATCATGCGCTAATCGTACGCGCCTGCAGCCGTTTATGCTCAAAACAACAAAAGACCAGTCTCGATATGTCTATACAAAAGCCGGCCGGCGGATTCGTGCCGAGGGATTTCGACGGGCGCGATGTAGCGATACTGCAGATCTTTTTCTACCGACATTTGTATGACATATGGGAGAAAATATATGCTTATTTAAACACGTTATCCCCATTTTTTTAATAGTTTATTCCGGTGCAGCTCGCCCCTGAACCGAATCGCTGCCTCGATTATACCGATCGCATGATCGCATTGATAGAGACCAGTGGAAGCGTAAAAAAAAAAAAAAAATATGGAGCAGAGAGCGCTAGACCGCACTCAGTTTCGTCGGGCTCTCATCAGCACGCAGCGGGGTGCAGCATAGTGTACGACGGCGACGCGATCACGTTCGGAGCTCGAACCTAGCTATAGGACGATGCAAGGGGCCATAGCGACGATGCGTACCCGTCTTCGCCGCGGCAGCCATGAACCTAACCAGCAGCCAATTGGTCAGCCGCCTCACTCCAACCATAGCCTCCTCTATACTCACAAAGCCTGGCAGTTCGATGACAGAGCCATAGAGTGCCCTTTCTCAGATTTGGAGCGCGAGGATCTGCTAGCACAGAGCGTTTCTCGGGGAGTCTGGTATTCAGCGCACAGCTTTTGCAGCGGCGAGGACCCGAAACATGGTTTTCAAACCAGACGAGAAAAGAAGCGGTAGCCCGAGGAACGCGAGAAGCACGAGCGGACATTTCATCGCTCGGGACAAGTGTGTTTCGGCGTCTCGCACCAGCGGGGCGCCCGTTACATGACTCTTGTCTGCCGCTCTACCTTTTCACGTTCGGCGGCCGCGTCCCGTGGCGATCTACCAGGCTTTGTCAGTATAGAGGAGGCTATGCTCAAACCCTCGAATCAATTAATTGTCCACCTAAAATGTGTTACTTGTTTTTGCAATCTTAATTCGCTTATAACTGCCAAAATAAATCGTATTTCCAGACAAAGTTTTTCCTCCGTGTTCCCACGTCCGATATGAGCTCGGTCTCAGCGCAAATTTCAAACCAGTCCAAATATCATTAGGGGGCCCCTTTAAATTACCGTGACTATATATCTCTCTGCATCTTCAACAAATAGGAAGGGGCTACTTTTAAAAGTTCGTGTACCAGGATCTCTTTTCTAACTCCCTTTTTATTAATCGACGCTATTTGTAATAAAAATATATATTTATTAAATATATCTTATTGTTTTGATATTTCGAACTCAAAACCATGAAAATATAATTTGACTTCTAGGCTCAGAGTTAATGCGTATTTTCGTGCACTTTTAATACTCCTCTAGACTGAGAATCGAATTAAGTCAAGAGTTTAGTATAGGCCTTGGAATCAGCCACTTTCTTGACATTTATAATGCATATTGGTGGGGTAAGCCGTTCACATTCCAGAATTCACTGGCAAGTACGTCTCTGCTTGAGACATCAAAGTCTCACGTTCACGCCAACAGTATCTTCCTTGCTGCAACAGTGATTGCTGCGCACACTTATAAAACGATAGCACAAAAAGAACTCACAAAATATTCCTTCTAACGTGATGTATTTTCTTCCGTAGTAACCGGAGACACGGCGTCCGGCTTCCGGTGACCAAGTGGAGAGGAGCTGTTTCTTTTTTGGTGGTGAGGGTCTTGACGTATATATAAGAGCGTTCGTTGTTCAAATAAGGTAGAAGCTGTGTTTGAGACTTGTTGTTTTGTCCACCATTTCGTCGTTTACCCTGAGACTGGGGGGGTTTTTTGAAGAGCAGAAGAAACAGAAAAAACAGACAGGTCTCAAACACAGCTTCTACCTTATTTGTTTTTTCTGTTTCTTCTGCTCTTCAAAAAACCCCCCCAGTCTCAGGGTAAACGACGAAATGGTTGACTTCCACCAGCTAGCCTGTACTTTGACTCTTTTCTTGTTTTGTCCCTTTTTTTTTTATCGTTGCGTGTCCCCGGTTACAGTGGAAGTTCTTCACCAGCTCGCCTGTGTTTTTACCCTTTCTTTGATGTATTTTCTTCAAGCAAATAGATACTCTGCTCACCTGTTCTACCCAGACGTTTGTTGTCATAATCTGGTTCTTGAGATTCTGTAAAGAAATCAAGAAACCGTAAGTAAATATGTGTAAACATGACACATAGAATCAAAACGACGAGCGAGATTGCTACCGACCGTCGTGGTAAACCACCAAGTTATGCGGAAATAACTTATGCCAAATTCTCCTGGTAAATGTGGAGCGATTAAGGAGCGTTTTTTTTAAATATGTTTATGCATGTGCAAACGCGAGCTAGCATTCGTTGCTCTAAACGCGCAAGCATAAATTGGTTTTGGATCGCAAAATCTACTAGTTGAATTCGCCATTAATGACTTAGTTAATATACAGAGGTCAGCATCGTTCGGTGAAATGTAGTTGAATCATTTCACATGTCTACCAACAAGGCACCTATGTTATAAGCATCCGTCGGGCACGTTTGATAGCCAGGAGCTTATTCCTACACCAATCCAATGTCTATGAATTCAAAACCCAGCGTGAAACCTCCAATGCCCAGAAGTTAACAAAGCGAGTAAAACTTAAGCAATTTACACGATCGCTGAGAATGGCACTGGCCACAGCAAGGTTACTGTGGCATTGTTTACTCTTAGGTTGCTAAGTTAAGGCTTAGTTCGTGTATTGCCTGTATTGTGCGCATTATTATTAGCTTATTTTTGAGTCCACGACCAGATATTTAGCTTACACGCTTCTGATACGTAGATTAATTGCACACAAGTGCTAACTACGCGTGCTCGTGCTCGAACAATGTAAGACAAACAAGTTATGCAATTCGAAGTGACTCCCAAACACGTGAGCTACTACAGTGCTTCCTGTGTAACACGCCTAAAAACATCTGGAACAAGTTGACCGGAATACACGGAGGAGTAACAAAAGACAACATCGTCCGGCAAAAAGTATGTTCAAGCTCTTTAATATTCTTATTTCTTATCAACGTGCTCCTGTAACGTCAACATAAAACACCGAAATGCGTTTGTACGAACCTGTCAAGAAAAAAAAAAGGTGAGACAATAATTATCACCGGAGAAACTCAAGATGATGATTCTGCTTCACAGTTTAAGGGGCCTTACCAAGTCATGAAAACTGCAGTGCCGCGGGGACTTCTCAAGATCGTGCAGTACATTGAACTCGCAACACAGTAAAAATGGCACCGATTACGAAAATATTGAAATACCATCCCAGGAGAGGTGGATTCTCAAGCTGGGGAGAATGAAGACGACCAACGTGAAAGAAGACAAAGCAGGGCGCAATCTGGGCGGTGTTTGAAATAAGATGATGAGAAATCAAGATGGTTACAAGCACGTCTTGATTATTCTTCGGAACGTTGCAAAAGCAAAAACGTTTAGCAAACCACCACGCGCTTGTTGAGTTCAATATTTATTAAACACATCCTGCCGGTTCAGATATATCGTAGCGCTAAATTAACACTATAGGAACAGCGCTGACCCAGCGCTCACTTGAACGGTATACCTTAGCACTGATGCAGGGTAGTATCAGCGCCGTTTTAGCAGACTATACTCTCTGGGAAGGGGATTGGGAGAAAAATATTGGCAAGATGAAATGAAATAAGGAACGAAATATAAACGATGATGAGGCGATTAGACTGACGTTATGTCACATCTCAGAGGGTCCGTGCCATTCATATGTCTCCCAAAAAGACAATCAGATCGTTGGTTGCCTTAACGAAGCATTGAATAGATTTCCCGCCGCCAAGCACTTCTCAACGGCAAGTGGTCTATCATTCTTGTTTGGTAGTGTTGTCTCAAGTATTATCTCTTGGAGGCGCGAAGAGTCCATACAATACGGAAGCGTTGTATGGTTTCCGGAGTTATGTATGTTAGCCAGACAATTCGGTCTGGTTACTTTCTTGATTCTGTGAAAAAACATCCTTGTTAAAGCTACTCCAAGCCCTGATCTGTGCATTGTAGTCTCTATTCGATAAGGGAGACCACATGACAACTTAAATATCAAGTTGGGATGCAGGAAGTCAAGGCGGGTGTGAAAAAAAGTCACAACATTCTGACGCCTCCAATGTTAATTTTTTCGTTGCTCGACAAAGCACCGATGCAGCATCTGTTCGGAAGAATGGTATCGCAACGCTTGTAACGTTTTGGTGAGAATTTCGTGTGGCTTTGTAACAGCTCTTGTCACTGATGACACCACAGTCACCTGGAATCAACTGAGGATTCCAGGTCCACTGTGGACTGGAATTTACAAAGCTGGCCATTGTGGTGGATCAAATATAAGCTCTTCGGTAGCATTTCGCAGAAACAAATCATAAACGATTCATCAAGCGGTCCAGTAACATCCCGTTCATGTTTCAATCGGTTCCAACGCCCTTAACCCAGTAACGCTCAATACGTCAGCCAACCTAACGGTCACCAACAGCTGGATCGCCATCTTGGCCGTCTGCTCGTCAACGCCATCCCCGCCCATTTGGAGCTTCCTCGAGTTCCCCCAAGGTCTCCCCCAAAGACGGCTCTGAGAAAGACGCCGCCGGCGTGACCGACGCCAAGAGCGCCCGCGCGCTGGGAGGCCGCGGCAGCGATCGATGAGAGGTTCGCTCACCACGTCGATGAGCTGCGACAAGCGGAGCCCCATCTTGACCGTGAGACGATCCGAGTTATTGCCCACGGGCCGAATAAGCGAGCTGTAGCCATTGATGAGGTCGTGGTAGAGTCGCTTGGCGTCTGCGTTGGCCCGGCAGCCCCGCGTCGCCCAGCACAGGACGATGAGCAGGGGGAGGGAGGAGAGCTGCGGGCCGAACCGCGGGCCGAACCGCGGCCCGCCCATGGCACGGTGGCCTCACGTGTGGCCCCAGGTATCACATGCCCGCCGACTCATGCAGCGGGGAGCCGGCCCCACTCGCTGCTGTGCCGCCGCTCGAACGACGACGTGCACGGAAACGCCGCGCGGCAGAGACACACGGCGCGGGGTTCGGGCCCGGGACGTTCTGGAGGGCGATCGCAGCGCCGCCACCTCCCTGGCGCCGGGTCTTGGTTGCGACGCATCGGACGGCTAAAGCCCCGATCGTACTGCTCCTACATACAGAAGGCACAGTGTGCGCTGCAGACATGAACACATGATTATATGTGGACATGCCTCCAGTACGTTTGAAGCATGTATGTGTTCATGAAATATTTCCTCACTAATTCTCCCGATACTTAGCTAAAGGATCGGTTAGCGAGAGATTTGTTGAATATATCCGACTGCTCTGCGGAGCGCTAGAGCTACCCCGGACCGTGACGAAAATGGAATGTTAAACAATGCCAAACAATGGTGTATGGTATTTCTCCGTTGCGGGTCTTGAAATGCTCATGGCCCCGGATGTTTGTGTTTCGTTCGCCGACGCGCACTAATGAGACCTCTGGGAGAGCCGTCCTTGTTGCGCGTTACCGAGCGCTCACGAGGCGGGTTTGTCAAGTCGAACAATTAAACGTCTGCTGATCTACAACTTGGCAAAACGTGAACGTAAAAAAAAAAAAAAAAGAAATCCACGAGTTTAAGTGTTTTTCAAGCCGCTCGAGTACGTATCGAGAATGCGCACCGAGAAAAGCTGCAGAATCGGGGGCCTCGTGCAAGCTGGGCTCGAACTGTTTTCGAGCTTTCAGACCCGTATCATCCGGCAGTGTATCGTGCTCAGTGTGTTCACAAAGTTTAGATTAACACTTGGCCTATATGAACCATCTAAAGCTGGGAGACTCGTCGCCCCTGTGAGGCAGACCAAGTTCTAAGCTGTATAAACATACACACAACCCAATTTTTTTTATCAGTATATGCGCAGGGAGGGTGGCATGCAGGCATTAAAGTAGTCAAGTCTTCAAGACCGCTTCAAAAACGAGAAAAATAAATATTTATCAGTAAAAACAACTATTTGCGAGTGGGTCTCAATTTTGCAATCGCCATACGACACGTAATTGTGAATGTTAAAAAAAAAAAAAAAAAAAAATCTCGCAACTTTGATGTTGGTCTAGAAATACAAAAACCAAATCCAGTTTTTTGGGGAGGCAAAGAACCGTTAAAATGTATCCTTGTCTGCAACAGTTTTAGCAGCAGCTGCAAATCTTCCCATATTTATTTTTGCTTTCTAAAAAGGGAAATGGTCTGTATCACACAACTTCCTACGACTTGGCGGATCATTTTAAGTAACTTTAAGACAAAAATTCGCTGCTAAGCACTGCTCCCTTAACGGATCATTTTCCCCGCGAACACAAGCGCGCACATTCACAGTCACAACCGGCCGCCCGTAAACGTCAGACATATATATACGAAACCCCACGCTTCTTACAGTCTTTAATTTGTAACGCGGATTGATGCTGAAACCTTGGCCCCGACTGGCCGCGGGCGACACCCACTTCATTGAGATCTGAGAGAGCAATCCGGGATGCGCGGACGCGAGGCGCGGGAGCAGCCGTTTCCGATCGATGCCTGCGGGAACGTGAGGGCAAGGAGGGAGGAAGGGCTGCTCCGAGCGTCCTCCGGCGAAGTGCGGCACAGCCGCCTACGAAGCGGGTGGCTGAGTCCGGCTGCGCCAAGCCAAGATGGCGGGTCCCCGGCGACCGGGACTCGCAGAGGCTGCCGCGTCGCTCAGGGGACTCGGATAGCGGGGACTCCTTGGCCCCAGGCGTGCCATGGCCTTCTCGGCAGCCGGCTTCGCCGTGCTCCTGCTGCTCGCCCTGTTGAACGTCGGATGTCGGGGTAATCCGGACGCCAAGCGGCTCTACGACGACCTGATGAGCAGCTACAACAGATTAATCCGACCCGTGAGCAACAATTCGGACCGGCTCACCGTCAAGATGGGGCTCAAGCTGTCACAGCTCATCGACGTGGTGAGTGCGCGGCTCGAGACCGCCTCTCCTCACACCACCTCCCTTCCCTGCCCGTCTTGGAACATTATTGGCGAAAATGGACGACTGCGCCGCATGTCGCGATGAGTTCAGTCAGTGATGTGCACTGGAGAGCTGCTATAGCATTTTGTGAAATTCGGACCCGATATATATTGCTTCGGTTATTGCGCACAGGGTGCGACGTCGCAAGGTGCACAATATCGAGGGACACGAAATTATTATCACTTTACAAGTCACTTAGAAACGGTCATTTCTATTTACTAACATCACTCAACGAGCGATTTCAATGTGCCAAAAAAGAGAATCAATTCCGCATAATGGCAAACAGGAGTAGCTTACATCTTGTTGTTACCGTATTTTCCACGTAAAAGTGCCAGAGAATTTGCTAAAAGCCTATGAAAGTGTCTCACCTGATTGCAACTCGTTTATAAAGATATATTATCACTGTTATTCCAGAACATCAAGAACCAGATTATGACGACGAATGTCTGGGTTAACCAAGTAAGTCTATTTCAGTGTTCTAATACTTTAGTTCCTTAAATTGTAACCTGCCGTCTTGCTCGGTCGTCTGCTGGATAACGTAAGCAGAGAAGCTTAATCAGCGATCTACAAAAATGATTTCTTAATTTGTTGTCTAAAACGCTTGAAATGATCAGCTGCTTTTCTTGCCCTAGCTTTCTTGTTTGATTCTGATGCATAATCTTTTATAATAAAACTTGATAAGATAATAAGATAAGATAATAAGACTTTGTGGGACGTGATGGCATGTGGCTCCGCAATATTGCTCAGATTTAAGCATTTTAGATTTACGACAAAACAAATACCATGAAATGAACTTTTACATTTACTTGGGCCAGGTCGGTGTCAAAATACCATTTAAACTGATTTTTAACGCAATTATTTCACACATTCAGGAATGGTCCGACCACAAGCTCAAGTGGGATCCGCAGGAGTACGGCGGCGTAACCGAACTGTACGTGCCTGCCGAGCAAATCTGGTTGCCTGACATTGTCCTCTACAACAAGTAAGTTTGTACGCGGAGCACATTGCATAAGATTGACTGACATAATAAGTGCACTTTCCTAGAATCATCTTTTCATGCGTGGGGTTCAAACCGTGTGCGCAGTGCGGACGGCAACTACGAGGTCACCATCATGACCAAGGCGATCATCCACGAAGATGGCCGCGTGGTCTGGAACCCTCCAGCCATCTACAAGAGTTCGTGTCAAATCGACGTACAGTACTTCCCTTTCGACAAGCAAGACTGCTTCATGAAGTTCGGTTCCTGGACCTACGATGGTCATCAGGTCGATCTGAAGCACCTGAACGAGATCCAGGGCACCAACATCGTGCCCGTGGGCATTGACCTGTCCGAGTTCTACCTGAGCGTCGAATGGGACATTATGGCCGTGCCGGCCATGCGCAGAGAGAAATTCTACTCGTGCTGCGAGCAGCCATACCCGGACATCACCTTCAACATCACGCTGCGACGCAAGACGCTCTTCTACACGGTAAACCTGATCATCCCCTGCGTGGGAATCTCGTGCCTCTCCGTGCTCGTCTTCTACCTCCCTTCAGACTCGGGCGAGAAGGTGTCTCTGTCCATTTCCATCATGCTGTCGCTGACTTTCTTTTTCCTCGTGCTGGCCGAGATTATCCCGCCCACGTCTTTGGCGATGCCTCTGCTGGGCAAGTATCTCGTCTTCACCATGATCCTTGTCACCGTGTCCGTCCTGGTGACCATCGCCGTGCTCAACGTGCACTTCCGGTCTCCGTCGACGCACCGCATGGCGCCCTGGGTGCGCCGCCTCTTCGTGCACCTGATGCCCAGGCTGCTGCTCATGAGGCCGCCCCAGTACCGCATCGAGACCGACGAGTCGTCAGCGGCCAAGCCCCCACAGGGCGGGGGCTCGCACGGGGCCCTGCACGACGACCCGCTGTTGCTGCCGGAGCCGCTGCTGGTCGCCCGCCCGCACGGCCTGCACCAGGCGGCCGAGCCCGCGGGGGACCAGCCGTCAAGGGATTTGGAGCGCGCCATCCACAACGCCATGTTCATCGCGCAGCACATCGATAACAACGACGATTTCGAAAGCGTAAGGCCGGCTTCCTCCTTCTTCTGGGTGACGCCATTTCCGATGCCCTCCAGAGAAAAGGGGAAGAAGGAGCTCTCCTCTTATCAGGAACCGGATTTGCACAGACGTCGCTATTCTCCTCCCAGAAGATTACAGAAGATTAACCTGTCGCTCGAAATTCTTACAAAGGCAGCTTCCCTCTCCTCCTTTTACATGGTGGTCAAAAGTATGCAATGTGACCTCAGTGCAAGGATCCTATACATTGTACAAAACACAGCCTGCAGACACTCTCTGAGGTGGGTTTCTTCCTTGTATGACCGGTCCCGTAACATTGGTCATACAAAAACTCTTCTGCAGACATGTCTGAAACAAACGCATCTGTGAAGGAACACACTTGCGTCCGGTCCGCAGACCATTCTGTCATCACGCCTGCACTAAACACCGTGTCCTTTGTACGATGTGCATGAGCCGTGTGGCTGCGGCTATAGTTTTATTTGGAAACCCTGCACGGAACCTTGCTTGCTTGTGTAGGTGTTAGCTCGCACCGTCTAGAAGGGCCATGGTAGGACAGAGTGTCGACAACGGAGCACTATTGTTGGTTTGACGCAGACTTGTACCGTACGCATTACAAGTAATCAAATTACTTGTAATCGATTACTTTTTGGAGTAATTTTGTAATCAGTTGATTACTTTTATTAGGCAGTAATTACAACAGTAATCTGATTACTTTTTGAAGTAATAAAATTACTTGTAACCGTTACAATTTGTCCATGGGACCCCCCCCCCCCCCCCCCATGGGGCACACGCCTTTTTTTTATGAAATGACAAAAATAATTTTTTTTTTCGAACGGAAAAAAGAAAGATTTTTGCTGAGCTGTAGGAAACGAGGTCAATCTCTTTATATGTACAGTTTCTGTGGAATGTCCGAAGCCACAGTGCGTGACAAAGGCCATTCAGGACGAAGTTTGAGGAAGCAGAATGTAGCTTTCTGAGTCCTTCGTTCAAACCAGGGAGCCTTCATGTGCGCTTTGCGCACATGAAGGCACCCTAGTTCAAACTAGCCCCCTCCACGCACACACACACACACACAGAAATAAAAAAAAAATCCGGCTTAGGGTACCTACTGGCAGCCCGTAGGAGAACCAGAACCGAAGAATGCCTAAAGCGGATGCAAAATATAACAAAGGCAGTTGAAATATTTCCACATTTCCCCTACTTGGTCTTTGTGACAAGCAATGTTTCGAGTTGAGATTGTCGGGGCGATCTCTTCCGTTAATGGATACTACACATTATCCGTTTCAAATCCTGGAGCTGCTGCTCTTTTGTATAACATTCGAGCTCTTCCACATGTGAATAATAAAATGAGCGACGCAAACTTTAAGCGACAATTCTTGCTCAAGCTTAACAAGATCTAGAACCCCCTCCGCTCTCCCCCCCCCCCCCCCCCTTACAAACACAGACTGGCGAACGCCCAAATCATTCAACGTCTTCTAACGAATTTTATGCTTGTGTCCGCATTGTAAAGGTGCAACGACCACGAAGAGGGAGCCAGTTTTTCTTCTTCAATACTTGTGCAAATGTGAAATATAGGTTGGAAGTAGTTCATTGTTATGAGCGCTAAAGATGTGTCTTCACACAATAAAGTAATCGGAAAAGTAATGATTACTTCTTTAAGTAATATCCAATTACTTTTGCCGTCGAGTAATCAAGTAATCTAATCGAATACTTTTTAGCCAAGAGTAATAGTAATTGTAATCGATTACTTTTTTTTTGTAACGTGTACAAGACTGGTTTGACGTCATAGCGCGGGCGACCAATGACGTTTACCCGCGCGGAGTGGGGAGGGGGATAAGCGGTGTGCTAACACTCCCATCTCACCCCTTATGGTCCGCTGCGTAGCAATGTGGGTAGAAACTGCGTATTAGTATGATAATCTAGTGGGGCGCGAAGGCATTACATGCAAGTGCTAACGTACGTTCGGTTGTCTTTGACGGAATGTCTAAGCCAAACTATGTTGGTTCGCACAATAAGCATCCTTCGCCATTCCCTGCTGGAGTCTGTTTACAAATATGCAAGCGCGAGTTTGAGCACTGAGCACGGACAATGATCTGCTCTAAGGGCAACGTGCTTGATGTACACAGTGCACACGCTTGAATTGACATTTGTGTGAAAAGTACTAGTGACCAGGGTGCGGGTACTCATACCAAAGGGTACTTATATCGTTAGCAGAAGACGTGTCAGAGGGCGTGGTCAAATCATGAGTTGGTCTGATTAGGCCAAATAACTTTTCGTGATTCATTGTTAGGATGACTAATTAAGGGTTGCGGTGGTGTATAACCGACTAACCTAACGACTAATCAATTAAAGCATTAATTATCAAGTAGTTTCTTAACAAAGTTGGCCAAACTAGACACTTCTGTGGGGTTGACATAGGCTTCATCTATGGCAGTGTCAAAATAAACAATGATTTAAATCACTAACGAGACTTCTGCTCCTCCGGGAGGGCATGCCCAAAAAGCGTACAAAACCGAACTTTTTTTTTTACACCTGAATATGCGTTTAATTATGAAACACCTGTGACCATCCAAAGTCAAAATTCAAAACTGTTACCCAAATCACAAATAGCATACCTTCTTAGAAGTAGTTGGCAGAAATGACATATATCTCGCACTTTTCAATTACTTAAATAGTTCGAAGTGGAAAGCGGACGTCAATAAAAAGTTTATATATTTATTTCTGTCCTCACCTTTACTTCGTTCGTCGGCAAATTGCATTCGAATATTTGACAATGACCTCATTAAAAAGTGCGTATCTTTTCTGCGTTGCGAAAACTATGGGCAGCCCAGCATTCGTATTCTCTAAGTCAGTGGTTCTCAGCCATTTATGTTTCGCGGACCCCTTGCGGATCTGCGGAGGTGATGGAGGACCCCGTTCGTGGTAAGGGGTTAATTATGATAGTGATTTAATAGATAGACATGACTTAGTGCTAGTGGGAAGTCGATTTCTCCTATTGGACATATAGACGATAAAACTCAGACAAAAACTGAAACGTTTCTTCTCAATCCAAGAAAAGACAACTTTTATTGCCTGTTGACTGACGAGGCTAATATCCGCGGACCCCTAGAATGCCTTCGCGGAGCCCAAAGGGTCCGCGGACGCCCTTTGAGAACCACTGCCCTGAGTGTATCATATTCTATAGAAAAAGATTGGAATACCTTAATATTCCTGGCAGCATCCGCTTTAGACCGATTGATCAATTGATTTGGAGCATACATTAATCCGGGTACAAATATTAACTAAACTTGTTTCTTAATCTTTAATGCGCTCTTGAAAACTCAGCAAGCTTTGAACGGTTTTAAAGAATGTAAAATTGTTAAGCCGGAAGAATTATGAATACCCAAAAAAAAGAAGGGCATGCACGACAGAACGTTTTGCATAACCATGTTCAACACGCGAGTTGAAAAATCCAGATAAAGGCAATCTGTTTTTTTTTTGTTTTTTTTCTGGCTTTGGTTTTTTTGATCGATTGCAGATCCGTGAGGACTGGAAGTACGTGGCCATGGTTTTGGACCGGCTTTTCCTCTGGCTCTTCACGCTCGCCTGCGTCGTCGGAACGGCGGGTATCTTCCTGCAGGCCCCGTCGCTCTACGACCAGACAGACCCCATCGACGTCAAGTTCTCCCAAGTGGCCCGCCGAATGCGCATCGACTACCCCTGGACGGACGTCTGAAACACGCTCTCTTCCGAGGACCCCGCCGCACGCACGCTCTATATACGGCCGCCTGGCGATAAAGTTCCCGCAGATTACGGCTCGTGAATAGCCGTGGTGGGCGGGGTACGAATCGACCTTCTGTATATGTCCGTAGGCCCACCCATCTGCGCACCAAGAAAGCCTGCAAGCTGGCCTAAAAGGGTAAAGTCGGAAAGCCGCAGTCAGATCGCGCGTAAGCATCATACAAAATTTGACAAAGTATTTGTTGTAGATATGACATGATCGAATTGCCCGCTGACGCGTCTCAACCGTCTTAGAAGCACGACTTTTGCTTTATACGTACGTAAGCTTCGAAGATGTCTGCGGGCAGTTTTTTGTATGACCAATGTTACAGTCATACACGGAAGACACACGTATCAGACATTGTCTGCAAAGTGTCTTTTGTATTAGCGGATGTGACTGCAACTTTAAAGAGCGACTGGACAGGAGTTGCGGTTCCTCGTGCCTCTTGTACGCGGGGCCGCCAACTGTGTTTCACATGATACTATTTTAGGTATTGTACGTGAGAGTCACTGAGAGCTTAAGGAACGCACGGCGTGGTTAACGATACGTTCACGCTTCCCGCTTCATAATTGGTTGCCTGCAGCGTTCATATCAGCTCGTGCCGCACTCTCATTGGCTGCAAAGCTCCTGAATAAGATTCTCGGGACTTGCCACACCTCGCGCTTCTTAAGTTTTCGGTGACCATGGGAGCTTCTGGGATATGTGCGCATTCGAGGCGGGGGTATAGGTTCGAGTATATACATCGCATTTGCTGCCGCGCACTGTTTTGGTGTCACGCCAAATTGCAGGCCTTTTTTTTTTTTTTTTTGCACGGAAGGTTAGGTTATACAGCGCGCACGTTGAATCATGACGCATATAATGCTGACCGCTAGACATGCGCAACTTCTGAATCTGTTTTGTACACATGTGTTCCCCAAGCAGTATTTGGATGCGGAGTTCTTAACCCCGTTTGCTCAAGCGGCACCAGTAGCACTATTGCTCGCTTTGCCGTCGGCAGCCGATGGGAACTTAAAGAGGCTAAGGCTCGACATCTGTGGATACGGCAACCGATGCTGCATATTTAGACGAACGAGTGTCCAGGTCGGCATGATAGTGCTGTCGTTAAAAGCGAGCAATAAAAAAGTATCAGTCGTAGACCACGTTGGATCAATACGAACTTCATTTCTGCTGGAGCCCCCGTTGTCCGTTCGTCTTTCCACTTAAACTTAAGGAATCCTTTCGGTGACAAAGAAAGGTATACGAGAGTATGTGCGCTCGCGCAATTCTGAACGCCGGTTAACGGTGCACATGCGCAGTCGTCCTCTGTTCGGAAACGCCACAGAAAGTTCTCCTTGGGCGAAGACCATGAAACGATATTGCTGTTTATCGTTGTTTATCGCGCAGAGGGACACAAGAGATCTAGCACTTTGGAATAAAAGAAAAACTTTCAGGCCTTTCCACTCTGGTGAAGAAGGAAGAACAGCGAAGCTGTACAGTGATGGGAATGAAGTAATGGCAGGCAGCAAGTTGGCAAGCCAGTGTGGAAAGGCTAGAAAGGTTGCCGCCATCTATGAGCGACGGCGGCAACCAGACGACTGGCAAGCCAGTTGCCTCGTTTGCCAGTTGTTTGGCGTCGCTCATAGATGGCCGTAGCTGTCCGGAGTGTTGTGTCGACATTTATTTGCTGGCGGACACGAGCCTGGGAAAACTACATATAGCCCTTTACAGCTGCGCTGTAAAAAAGTCATCAACGTGATTAATGTCGCGAAATTTTGAAAATAGGCTTATATCGCAACATACACGAGAGCATATGATGAGTGATGTAGAAAGGAAGCTCGGCAAATGGACGTTTCCTGGTGCTCCGTGTCGTGCACGTCACTGTCGAGCAGTGTTGCGAAATCCCTTCCCCCCCCCCCTTTTTTTTTCTGTTCTAATTCTTTTCCGGGGAATTGGAGCTTCCAACAATTCCATTCCTTTCGACTCCTCAGAACGAATGCATTGGGCCCATTTCCACTCCTGGAATGGCTCAACTCCACCATTCCATTCCTTTAATTCCTAAACGTAAAAAAAAAGGCAATGACAGCCACACTGTGTTCCTGGCAAAAAGCAGCATAAAGCTGCTGACGTTATCACGCGCTGAGACGACTGAAAAAGTATGCAAAAGCTTCCCCAAATCATTCATTTTACTAAGCCGAAGGGTGGTCGCACGAAGCACTTCGTTGTACTTGGTGCCACTGCAGACATCCATCGTGCTATCAAGCCTAAAAGGCTTGCGAGTCGCAACAGAGGCCAACAATTAAAACCACCCATTGTCTTCGCAAATGGACCGTACACCCACAACAGATACATAGTTAGCACGTTGTTTGTTTCATAAGACCATAAAAATGCGCAATTCGTGCGTGGCGCAAAAAAAAAAAAAAGTTATCTTGTTATTTCTTTGAATACTTGCACAACAGCACCGCAAGTGCGCTGTTAGAAGTGACGCCGCGTGTACCTGCCCCAAATCTCCACGCACGGGCAAGAACACAAAACCGCTGACAAAATGCAATCGGTATACGGCTCCAGCACACGGTAGAGTATCAGCATATTACGGAATCATGCCTCAAAAACGTAAACGTCGGTTAAAAGCAGGGAGTCAAACTGGTCATTATATTCCGGTTCGGTTCGGGTTCAGTAGCATTGAGTTTAGTTCCGGTTCGGTTCCGGTTCGGCGATGGGTTTGAAATAATGGTTCGGTTACCGGTTCCATCAAGTGCAAGTTAGTTGAAACCGCTTTAAAGAAAAAGCCCCAAACTCCCAGTCATTAAAAAGAACAAAGGTTACTTAGTGTCACCTGCATTAAAATAAAATGAGGTACGGTAATCAAAAGCCGTGGAGCGGAAACGAGGCCAGCAAAACAAATACATCATTCATTTCGTTTTATGATCTTGAATTTTTAACGCGAACACCTTTCAATGAAAATTACGTGGTTATACAGGCGTTTGGAAACAGTAACAAAGTACAGCACTCAGCTAGCACTCACATTGACAGCGTGATAGTAGCACGCACCGTACTCGCACACTCGCACAAAAAAAAAAACGCATTATAAAAAGTCCTTAGTTGTTTTGACAGTAGAAGTTGAGTCTTCAAGAGTATGGTGAAATTGTTACCGACTGCAGATGAGAAATTTATACAGTGCAGTACGACTGCTAGTGTAGAGTCTTAAACGGATATCACGCAGTACTGATACATGGCCGCACGCCGGTACGATACTCATCCAGATCGAAACGGCAAACTACCCACACCGCGCGCACGAACGACTTGCTCGAACTACTCAGTTGAAGAGGAGAAAGACAGCGAAGGCCCATCGAAAGCCGATTAAAACAAAAGGACAAAACAAAAAATACAACGGGCGACTTGCTGTTTCTAGAAAACGCACGCACGCACGCACGCACACACACACAAACACTGCTAAATTGTAAATTGTTTTACGTACCTAATATATTTTTACAGCGAATCGATCTTTAGGATTCCATGTTTTCGGAGTTTATTTTTCGTCAAATTCGGAGAGTGTTTTTCGGAGTTTTTTTTAGTTTATTTTTGCTTGATTCCGAAATCTCCGAAATTAGGAGCTTAATTGCGCAGTGTTTGCTATGAAAAATAAATAAATGATATCCGGGTGTAAACGTATGCTATATAAATAAAAAATAAAGCGCGCTTATATCAATATTTCTTTAGCTGGATTTGGTGTTGGTGCCAATGTCATTGGCGATACTAATTTGTCCTACGGCAAATGTGGCACACGTCTGTGGCTTCAATAACTGTCGATACCTTAAAAATAAATTCCTGGAGAAGTCGCTGGGTAGCACGTATTCATCCCATCCTATTCCATGCTACCCCACGGCCTCGCGAGATGGAGTGGCAAAGGAAGCAACAGGGAAGTTTCAACAGCCTTTCTTCCCAATTTTATGCAATCTCTATGGTCCATAGCTCTCACTGCTACAAAAACACAACCTCTCCTTCCTCTTAAAACATAAATAGTATGGCCCAAACTGGAAACCAATACAAAGTTTTTTGTCGTGACCCGAAAGTACAATGACATGTTGTCCTGAACCTTGACGAGATGAGCGGTAAGACCCCTTTGGTCAATGGTACGAGATTTGAAAGATAACTGTGGTGGCATTTTCCCAGGACCATTGCGCTGACCAAACTTAATTGTAAAATACCGTCTTTATTTTTATTTTTGTTTTTTTTTTTCTGGGGTTAGGGGTGGGGATATTTGGCACATAAAAGTTTGGAGTTTATCGGATAAATCCGAATTGACCAAAATCGTATCGGCGAGTCTTTTTCGGAATTTTTCGGGTTTATCCGAAAACATGGGGCCCTAGTACTAATCTTCGATGATGGTCAGTAATTTTTTAATTGATACTATGCCTTTAGAATTAATAATTCAAGAAATATTACTCAAAAGTTATTAATAAGCTAATAATACTAAACGCTATTAATTCTATCGAATGGGCCCTTTGGCAGAAACCGGTGCAGCATTAAACTTCTTTTTCTTTTTTTCTTTTTTTTTTTTCATATGATGCGTACATTTCACGGAAAAGATTTGGCCGGCGTTTGGAGAGACATACGTGTAAAGGTTACGAGCAATTAGATTCCAACGGTAACACTCCCAATCGTCATCAGCTTTCGACGTGCCGGTCCAGGACAACCGGTCGGATGCCTAGTTTGTAGCACTACCTTGAAACGCCATTTGCGAAGAAAATCACGCGAGATGCGAACAGCTGACGACGCTGGTTTTATAATCAGCCAAAGCGAACGTATCCACGAACACATCTACAGCGAATGTCAAACCTAAACGTGAAGTGCATGATTCATTGTGCAGAGGTTTGAAGGTAAAAGTCGCCGCGATGCGCCTATATGTTTTTTTAAACGGCACGAGCATCTTGACAATACACTTTTTACTCGCTGCTTCAATGGCTCCATCGAACTGTATACTTTGAGTACCTTGTACTTGAAGTATGTTTAGGAAACTTGTTATTAGTACGTACTTGTACTTTACTTAAAGTATGATTTATCTGGTACTTTCCGAGCAAAGTACAACTCCTCCCGACTTCCAAATACGTTCCCCAAATACCGTGAAACCTTTTTTTGCCATAGTATGGCTATATAAGGCGGCTTCCTATAGAAACAAATGTAGACAAATAGCACAAAAAAGTGCCTTTTGGGCAAGCCGAGATCACTCTGAGACTGTTGTTTTCGGCATCCACTGCCCAATGTTTACGTTGGGGTGCAGATTTATGTCGTCGCCGATTCGGCAGACAACCTTCAAGCTGCTGGGTGCCCCTCCAGAAGAGAGATTCCACGGAAGTTGTTTCTTTTGTCGTTCTCAGAAGGCAATAACTATACTCCACACGTTTTGTAAAGCGCTGAGGAAGGCACAAGGACGAGCGCGTTGATCTGAGCAGTGCTTTCTTGCGCTCGGTGAAATTACGTTCTTTCAAGGACCACGTGCTCGCATCCTTGGCTTTCCCAGCACTAGAATGCACAACCTCTGAGGCCAAGTATAAGAGTTCATCAACCTCTAAAAAATATATGGCGTCATGTGATAACGTGCTACCGTCTTTTGAGACGTCATCCGGTCATTCCTCTGAGTGAAGTGCTATAAGATTGATAATAGTCAACTTATAAGTTGACTATAGTCGGTTACAAGTCAAGAAGGTAGGAGAAGCTCCTCCCACAAGCGTGATGCGCCCGTTTCAAATCCCTCCGCAGTCGAAAGAAGAGTTCACTGGAAACGCTCCTTGTTCGGCTTCAGTGGATTCCAACTTGTCTCCGATCCTACTTTTTAAGAAAGGGACCTTTGTATTTATTGCAGGGGGAACCGAGCCCCTGAAAGCAGCCTTTGTATTTATCGGAGGGGGAAGCTAATCTCCGAAAGTCGTATTTGTTTCCATCGGAGGGGCAAAACTCTAATCTCCCTCTCGTGGCTTACACAATGCTAAGTCAAAGTCGAAAGATAAAGCAAATATGTACAGAAAGGCAAGACCCTCCTCGCGCGTTGGCCGCAACGTCACGGAAACAATGGGACGCTATTGGATGCGGAGGTGGCGGAGGGATATATGATTACCTTTGAGGGGCATTTGCCGCTACCTTCTTGACTTGTAACCGACTATAGCACAGTAGTATCACAGTCAACTTATAAGTCGAC